GGTTCGCGTCCTTCGGCGGATGGAGGTCCCCGTGCTCCGTCGACAGCGCGAACTGCATGTCCACCGTCAGCGTCGGCCGGCTGTGCCGCGTCTTCGGCTTCTCCCATGTCAGAGTCAGCGCCGTCACCGTCGCCGCCTGCTGCGCCGCGGGAGAGGAGGGCTTGGTGATCAGCTTCGTCAACCCGCACACCGAAGGCACCAGCGTGAAGAAGGGGCGCGCGAGCTCCGCCGCGTCCGTCATTGTGTCTGCATTGAACTGGAGCGAGAGCGGCTGGTCGATCGCCTTGAGAGGAGGCGGCAAGTCCTTCAGCACCTCCCGCGGGCAGTCGCGGAAAGTGAAGCTCGCCGTCTGCCACAGGAACTGGCCGCCCAGGGTCCGCAGGCTCGTCGCCATCCGCAGCCCGATCTCCTGCCGGAACGAGTCCTGGTGCTTGAGGAAGAAGCCCAGCCGGCTCGCCTCGGCCAAAAGGCGCGCCACGTCGGCATCCGACTGGTGGGCTGGTGCCGAAGTGAAGGCGTCTGGGGCTACGAATCCCTGCGTCCAGGACCTCGGTCCCCGGCTCCGGGGGGCCCTGCTCGATGCTTGCGCGTGCGCGCCCTCCGGCGGCCGCGAGGTCTGCTCCCCTGTGGCAGGGGGGGGGAGGGTCGGAGGGGCGGCTGGCTTTGATAAAGTGACACTTTATCAAACCTCGGCCCAGGATCTAGGAGTCGCGTGTCCCTTTTGCGCGTTTCGCAATCTCCACCCACTTCCTCATCGGGCCCGCGCCATCGGCAGGGTGTGCCGCGCCGCGCTACTGTGTGGCAGCTAGCCAAACCTGTCGGCGGCGGATTCGGCGTCGTCGTGGCCGCCGCCAGCCGGCCCGAGCGGCGGGGCTGGTCCGAGCCGGGCTCCCCCGACGGAGGGACGCTTGGTCTTGTCGGGCGTGAGGCCCGATTTGCCATTCCGCTCCCGCTTGTCGCGCTCTCCGGCCCCGGACATGCGCCTGAAATCGTTGCCATACAAGCGCGTCCTCGCTCCCGCTTCGCTAAGGCGGGCTCTCAAGCAAAAACGGCTGTACACCGCCGAATATTTCTCGGATTTATTTTGCATGACCTGCCCACATCTAGGCAATGTTTGGGACAAATGTCGACATTGGTGCTTTTGGAGGGTAAAATCAGCGATCAATATGTCAATATATTGTCAATGTTATAGGGGATGCTGTCAATAATCAATATCAATAGTTACAGGGGCGAGAATCAATATTTATCGCCTGCCTTAGACCCCGTGCGCGGTGCGGGGGATCTCGGCACTCGGGGGCCGTCATAGGGGGCCCACAGCGCCCCAAAATCCACCAGTGCACACAAAGATCGCAAGGAGGAGTATGCGCAGCATCGGGAGGCGGCCTTCCGCGGAATCTGGAACATGCGAGATGACCTGCGGGAGGCGTGCGTGCGGGAGACCGCACCGAGGGTCGAGGTAGCAGGCCGGGAGTACCCGATGCTATGGCAGCCGGCGGACTCGCCGGCGGTGCGCTCGCTCGAGCGGCGGCTGGCTGCGGCGTTCCGCCCCGGCGGGATGGAGCGGGAGGCGGCGGGCCGCACCATCCTCTCCGAGTTCATGCTGCTTTCGCCACGGCTCGGCTCGATCGGGTGGAGCCAGATACGGGCAGCGGCGACGGAAGCGACGGCCGGCGGCGACGATGAGGAGGCGGGGCGCATGGGGAGGGCCCTCGGCACGGTCCTCACTCGGGCACGAGACGAAGCGGAGCGACGCATGGCCGCCCTCAGACAGGCCCGCGACGAGGCGAGGCAGAGCGCCGGCGGCCAGGCGGCGGGCGCGCCCGGATGGGAGGACACGACGCTGGAGACGCTGGTGGTGATCTCGGGCGGCCTCCACATGTTCGCCTACAAGGCGCGCAAGTACGACCACGAGAAGCGACGCGGCGAGGGAGCATCGGCGTTCTGGGGAGCCTTCGTGGCCGCGATGAAGGAGGGCGCGGCGTGGACGCCGCCACAGAGCCTCTCCGAGGCCCAGCAGAAGGCCGGCGCCAGGCTCCACGCGATGCCCTGGGTGCTTCAGCAGACGCCGACCGCAGGGATGGCCCGCAGCGCCGGGCACGCCCAGCCAGCTCCCGAGGGGCCGTCGTCGGGGGCCTCGAGTGAGCAGGCGAAGGCCGAGCAGGAGAGGCTGCGTGCGGTGGCGGAGCAGCGAGCGGAGGAGCGCCGGCGGCGGGAGGAGCGGCGGGCGGCGAACGCTCAGTGGTGGCGAGCGGTGTGGCGCAAGGCGGAGACCGCGCGCGCTAGGGTTCACCAGATTGCGCGGCTTGTCTCGGGAGGGCGGTGGCGGGCGCGGTACCCGGAGGTGCTCATCGTCGACCATTCGCCGCTGCTTGTGGAACTGCTCCACAGGCAGCTCGAGGCGCAGCCCCTGAGCGCGCGCTGCTGGGGGAGTCCGCACGCCCTAGCGGACGAGGCGAGTGACGAGTAATCGTGCCGTGGCCACAAAGAATAAATAAGAACCGGCCCCCGCGAGCGTGGAATAGGACCGCCGCAAGCGGCGTGGCGTGGAGCGGTTGAGCGTCCCTCCGGGGGCCCCTCTGCGCCGGGGAGGCGTTGTTGGCGGCTAGGACGCAAGCGTCCGTCGCCGTTTTCAAACTCGGGGCCCACTCCGCTACGCTCCGACCCGAATTTGCAGGGCCATGAAATTTAAGGTGTTGCTGCGCAAAAGGGGTGGCGCGCGGGCGCGCGCGGCGGCGGGCGTCGAGCGCGGAGCGGCAAACACAATGACGTCGGAAAGCTCTGCATCAAGTATACAGTAGGCTCTAAGCACGGAACCAGAGTTAGCTGTTAGGGGAGAAGTGTGGTGCGTAGCCGTCGCCCACCCTCGGGCGTCTACCACTTCCTATCGTTGACTAGCGCTACCTCGCGTTGGCGCACCAGCTTCTACTTCAGCGCGAAGCTTCGCTGGAAAGAGAAGATGAAGCACGCGCTCACGGCAGATCGTCGCAGGAGGGGGAGCGAGGCACCACTCGGGCCGACGAACAAAGAAAGAAACGTTCCAACAGAAACGTTCCAACAGCTAGTGCTCAAGACGTCTTTCCGCGACTCCACCCCCAGCAGCTTCATCTCTGACTCCAACATCACCGGTACGATGTTCGAGGAGCTATCAGTAAATATGCGAGATACCCTTTTCTTTGCGCTTCTTTTTTCCGTTTTTTTCTTTTTGCCAATATTTGAGATACCACATGTTCAAACTCCGCACTTTAATTCGATCTTTCTCGCCGCGGCTCGTGGGGCTCGGAAGTAGTCAAGCAGGTGGGAGCGGAGTGGGCGGAAGGAGGCCTGGGAGCATTTTGGCACATGTACATGTTGTGCATATGTTGTTGTAAACTGTGTTTTTTTGTGGGTCGACCATTATGCCAATGCTGGGGCTTAGGGATGCTCATGCTCTGGGAGCGGTGGCTTCCGCCCTTAGGTCCAGCATAGACGGGGCGCCCGTCGACCTGCGACTCGGTGTGCGGAGGCGCCGATGGGCCGGGCGGGCCATCCAGAGATGGGCCCGGGGGGCGGACTTTCGTACGAGGTGACGGGGGAGAAGCTCCCCACCACTTCGCACGAGAGGATCGTGTCGCACATACAGGGGCAGCTGCAAGACCTCGGGAGGGAGAAGAGCGAAGGGGAAGTGGCATACGCCGCATCAGCGGCGTTCCACTCCGTCCTCTTCACGATCTACCCGAGTTGGCGAGGCACACGCCGGGCGCGAGTAAGGGCTCCAGACGAGGTACGCCAGAGAGTTGTCGAGAAGGCGGACGAGCTTCGACGGGCGGCGGAGCTGGCCCGTCAAGGGGCCAGCACTTGTGGGGAGCTCCGGAAGCTGTGCCAACACCAGATCGTCTTTTCACGGTGGTGGATGACATCGAGAAGATGGTACGGTGCGCATACTTGAGCAGGCGGGTCGCGCCGCAGTTGGCACAGGGGCCCTGGGTGTAGGGTGAGCGCGGCATCTCGACGTCGAACCCGGGTATTTCTCGGGTATACCTGGACTTTTGCAGGTATACCCGGGTTTTACCCGGGGTTGCCCCGACTAATGGTAAATCTTACCTCCGTTTGATTGTTTTGGCAAAAGCCTTTTGGTCGGAGAGTGTTTGATTGTTCAGGGGGGCTATACCAGTCAATCGCAAGCACTGTTTTCCCCTTTAAGCCTAACATATTTTGACTAGGTCCAGCCCTGGGTGGCGCAAGATCTGAGGTTTTGTGACAATCCTCAGATCCGTGTTTTTCTCGTTGTTTTGTCGCTCGCTCCGCTCGCCACCTCACGCTCCGTAGCCCGGCCATGGCCAGTACCCCGCGTCTCAGTGAGACGCGTGGTACCATCCAACTCCGGTCGACGGGCTCGAATGCGCTCAGCCTCAGGAGGGACAAAACCGCGCGAATTCTGCACGCCTCGCTGCACCGCTGGCTTGACTGAATCAGGCAGCAGCAGGCTGCTGCTGCTGCCACAGCAGCAGTCTGCTGCGGCCCTAATACGCAAGTTGATGACTAGCAGCACTGCCGGGGGCATTCGAGCCGCCACAGCCGGTGTGCTGTGCACTGCCACCTGCCCGCGGCTACGCACAATGTGCGCTCGCATTGGATGAGCCCTGCTGATGGACCTGCATCGCCTAGCTGCACAAGAGCAATGCCGCAGGCAGTGGCCGTGGCATACACTGCGAGCACACTTGGTGCAGCTGCGAGGTGCAGCAAGAGCACGTCGTTCCTGCCTCTGATGCCACTCTCGCGGCTTGCAGCGCGTCACTCGCGCATGCTCTCCAGGAGCTATGGCGGGCGCGTGTGTGGGGCTGTAGCCTGTGTTTGGCCGGTTCTGACCCGTTTACTATCAGTATCATGTCCGGGCCACAAAAAATCGCACACGGGTAGCGGCTCAGGGGCCCAGTAAGTCGCGGAATCGCCAAATGTCACAACCTGCGCCACCCAGGGCTGGACCTAGTCTTTTACTTTTTTGATTGACGACAGACGAGCTTCAATGCCCAGTTAACCTAAAGAACCCAACCCAGAAAATAACCGCAGACATAGGTCACAGCGTGCCTACATTCGTAACACTCCCCGCGGACGTCCAGTGCGCGACGCACGCCGCATACGACATCGCGCAACGGCGGCGGGAGTACGGCGCGCGGCCACTCTCTCCACAGACAAGCCGTAATTGCACAGACCTGCCGCCGGCGCCTGCCCTCTCCCCTCCGCGCCTCACCACAGCACCACTGCGGCCACCACAGGTGGCTATGTCTCCTCGGGACACCCTCCCCCTCTACGCGGCGGCCCCCGGGCGGACGAGGCGCGGCAGCAGAAGCCGCGCCCAAGCCGCGCCCTCCGCCGACTGGCGGAGGCTGCCCGCCGCCGCAGCTTTGGCGGCCGCGTAGCGAGCCGCGCACCGACGCAGCAGCTCCCCCGCGCCGGAGGAGCGCCGCACAGCCTCCGCCGCCGCAGGCCATCCGAGCCGCCGGGCCGCCCCCGCCGCCGCCGCCTGCAACGCCGCCCCCCTCGCCTCCATCTGCAGAGCAGCGGTCGACCAGCCGGCGGCCGCGCGCTTGGCGGCGAAGCTCACCGGCGGTTGGGCGGCGCGAAGAGCGGCGAGCGCGCCGGCGCGCACCATACACCCCGTCACTGCAGCAGCATCCGCCGCCTTCATCGCAACGCCTGCCGCCGCCGCCGCCGCGCCGGCAAGCTTGGTTGCAACGCCTGCCGCCGCCGTCGCGGCGCCTGCCGCCGCCGCCGCCGCCGCGCCGGCCGCCTTTGCCCCAGCGCTCGCCGCTGCCGCCGCCGCCGAGTGCAGGGCCGGAAGGCGGCGCCGGCCGCCTTTGCCCCAGCTGCAGCGGCAGCGCCCGCGGTAGCCCGGGCGGCGGCGGCGGCCGCAGCCGCCGCCGCGTGCGCCGCGGCGGCGGGGGTGAGGGGCGAAGCGATGAGGAGGGCCCAGAGCAGTCCGGAGGCCGCCGCCGCCGCCGCGGTCGGTAACAAGCGGCGGGGGCGCGGCGGGTCGCTGGAGCGGGCGGAGGGGCGAGCAGGGCCGGTGTGGGCGGGGTGGGGCGGCGGCGGCGCTGGCGGCGACTTCCGCGGCGGAGGGGAGGAGCGGAGGGGGGGCGGGCGCGGCAAGCTGGCCGACTCGCGGGGCGGCTTGAGGAGAGACTTCTTCTCCGAGGACTCGGTCGGCTTCTGCGGCTTCTGCGGCCTCTGCGGCTTTTGGCTCGGCTTTTGGCCCGTCGGAGGGGGCGGGTCGACGGCCTGCGCGGTCAACACGCCAGCCTCGGGGCGGGAGTACGGTCTCGGTGCAGAGTCTTCAGAGTACGAGGGTTGCGACTACGGCCGAATGCGGCCGAGTACAGCGGAGTGCGTGTCCTCTCGAGCGCTGCTTGGAAGACGAGAATCCGCCTCTCCGGCTTCTGGGGTCGGCGAGCCCATATCTCCCCATATCTCCCCCATATGTCCCCCAGATCTCCGCTTCTAGGGTCGGCGAGCCCATATCTCCCCATATCTCCCCATATCTCCCCATATCTCCCCCAGATCTCCGCTTCTAGGGTCGGCGAGCCCATATCTCCCCATATCTCCCCCATATCTCCCCCAGATCTCCGCTTCTAGGGTCGACCACCGACCGCGCCGGCGCGTTGATGCGCCAGGTCGAGGTCGAGGTCGGCGTGCCCACGAGCCGGCCTGTTCACAGCAGTAGGTGTGAAGAGACGCTGTTCACAGGGGGTGGAGGTCGGCGTGCCCACGAGCCGGCCTGCGCCGGCGGTGGGGCGGTGGGGCGGTGGGGCGGTGGGGCGGTGGGGCGGTGGGGCGGTGGGGCGGTGGGGCGGTGGGGCGGTGGGGCGGTGGGGCGGTGGGGCGGTGGGGCGAGGCAAGAGTCCGAGGGGCGAACACGGAGCTGGTGGCGCGCGACAAACGGCTCTTCGTGCGGGTCCGCTCCCGGGCACGGCCGAGATAGCCCGAGATTGCAGAGTCGTCTCGCGGCGGGCGGCGAGGCGTGGGGCAGGAGGCGTGTGCACGAGTCGGGTGGTGGGTGGTGGAGGAGGGGGGAGGAAGGTGGAGGAGGGGGGAGGAAGGTGGAGGAGGGGGGAGGCAGGCGGAGGACGGTGTGTGTGTGTGTGTGTATGTGTGTGTGTGTGTGTGAGTGTGCGTGTGTGTGCGATGTGTGTGTGTGGAAGGTTCTCGAGGTTCTCGAGGTGGATATCCTTTGGCCGCGTTGGGTAGCGAGGATTGGTGTAACCCGAGTGTGTGGAAGGCAACCGATGCGTGTCGACTGGTGTGTGAGATTCTTGGTGTGTGTCGTCGTGGTTTCCTATAAGAATACTCACTCACTCACTCCGGGTTGTCGAAGAGCATCGCTACTCGAGAGAGAGAGAGATTTTTAGCAATACCAAACAACTCTAACACTCACACGTCATTTGGGGCCTGGAGCAAGGGTAAGGTAAGGTAAGGTAAGGTAAACGTCTCCACACACACAAAGTGGTGGGGCAAGGGGGGGCGACCCTCGCATCTCCACGCCCGGGACACGGGCAGGAGCCCCACGGCATTCAAAGTGCAAGCACCGGCCCGGTGCCGTGGGTGAGCAACCTGCACCCCACTCCTACTCCTATAACACAACCCCCACAGCGTGGTCGTCTACGTGTTCAGAAACACGGCCTGGAGCCCTGCACAATGATGTTTATGGAGGTTGCCCTGTTCACGCGCGCGCGAGACCTGCAGACAGGGTTGCCAGGTGAGAGCGAATGGCGCGGTTCACGCCTCGCACAACAGAGAGAGAGATGCGCTCTGCATGGTGGGACATAAAAGAGAGCGAGTACTTGGGCGAGTAGGCCGTGCGGTCAACGCTGCCGCGCGCGACTTTGCGCGCGAGGCTGCGCAGCTTGAGAACGGCGGTGGGCGAGAAGCCGCCGCCGAACGTCTCGTGTAGAAATCGTCCCCCCCGAACAGGGCTGCGCTTCTTGGGCCCGGGGTCTCGAGGTTCTCGAGGGGCGTCGCCATTTGGCAGCATGTGACCAAGCTCAAAGCAGGCAAATTCACCGTTCAGGACGATGTCCTCTGCCGACAAAAAGCCAGCTCTCTGTGCGCTTGTGTGGACAGCACGAACGAGGAAATCCGTCGTTTCATGCTCAAAGATGTATACGGGCGGCCGCGTGATTGAAATGTTCTGATCGCGGATACACATCTGCTCCAACCTACACCACCCGCGCTGCTTGTACGATGATGCGTCGCAGGCCTTGCCAGAATCCGAGTGCTGCGGCGGGATTGCGGAGGGCGAGGGGAGGATTGGTGTGACGCGATCCACGCAGGCGTATTGCCTTCCAAGGTGGGGTTGCGCGAGCACATGCAGCTCGCGCTTTAGCTTGTGCACGTTATTCTCGCGCAGGACTATCTATATTATTTTGCTTATATTCTCCCCGGACCGTCTATATTCTCGAGATTATTCTCGAATATTGAGAATATTTTGACCACGCGTAGGTCGACGGAGGCCAAAAGTCGCTCCCAAACCCGCTCAGAACCACCAAAACTTAAAGATTTCAGTCGTCCTCGACCCGAAAACCTACTGTTGAGGGGGGGAATAGCTGTTTCGAGCTCTCTCGTCAAGACCGTTTTAGACGCCGCAGCGGTACGTCAAGAATATTCAAGAATATCTTTGGACTCGAGGTCTACTAAGGTCAAGGGCTGCGGAAAGCTCGTATATTCTTGAGGGAAAAGCCGGCCGGGGCATCTATGTTCTCGAGAATTTCTCGAGAATATTCTCGAATATGGAAGTGCGCGGGACCCTCTATATTCTCAAAGATATTCGAGAATAACGTGCACAGGCCAACTCGCGCTGCGCTGCGGTATAAGGTGGGCCTGGCCTACCATGGCAATGCTACGCGCCGACGCTGGACATCGGGCAAGTGGTCCACACGCTGAACAGAATCTGCCCTGGGACGGGGGAGGCTGTAAGGTAGTGTAAGACCTTCCGTGGGTCTGCCTCTCACACCCTCACTGCTGTCGTATGCGAGGTTCAGGCGTCTCTTATCACCCTTACTGTGAACAGCGCCCCGGGGTTGTGCTTTTCTGTGAACAGCGCCTCAGCACCGCCGAGTGCCGACCTCTCGATTGGGGGATATCTCGCTGCCGTCCAGAAATCAATATCATCCCAGGTGCGCTCCAGCGTGCATATGCTCCACGCTCGCCAGCAGCGCGCCTGCTGTTCCTCCGCTGGCCACATCTGCATCTTCGTCGCGACCGAGGCCGGCAAGCCCGCATACATCGACCGCCTAACATCTGTGTTGATCACATGGGCCGCAACGCCGCTGCCTGCGGACGTGAGCGTCCGCTTCGTGCTCTCGGCACACGGACTCTCTCAGCTCTTCAACCTGTCAAGCCAAACGCGCCGTATCGCGTCAACGCGTGCTCGCGCCGCAACCCTCCTTGCCAAGGCGATGCCGTTCCCGCCGCACGTGCCGCAGCTCACAGCTGCGCTGCGCAACGAGCAGCTGGTGGTGCTCGACGACTCGACGCGCGACTTGTTCAAGCTTGGCCGCGATGGCGCGGCGCGGCGCTTCGAGTGGGTGGCGCACGCCGTTCGCGAGCGCTTTGCAGACGCGTGCGACTGGATCGCAATGACAGAGGTGTGCATGACCCCCGGCGCCTGTGAGAGCCCACATGCACAACTCCTTCACCACCCGTTCATAGGACCGCGTCCCCCAGGGCTCACTGTTCCACGTCTCTCTCTCTTTTCTCCCTATCATTCCGCCTTTCCCCGCCTGTCCCCGCCCGCCATACCCCAGGACGACACTTACGTCGACGTGCATGCGGCCCGTTGGACGGTCGACTGCTCGCTGGCTCCGACGCGGGACCGGCTGTACTGGTACAGCGGCCAGGTCTTTGGTCACACATGGGGAGACTTTGTGCACGGCGATTGGATGGTCTTCAACCGCCGCTCCTTCGTATGGACCGACAACGCGCTCTGGCAGTGCCCGCTGCCGCGCATTTCTTGGAGCGATAGATTTCTCGGCGGCTGCATTCGGTACGCCGCGGGCTGGCCCGGCTACCCGGAAAAGCGGAGGCATCCCGGCGACTATGCAGGCACGCGGGCGCGACACACGCCCGCCGCCACGCTCCGCAGGAAGAGGGGTGTGCTCTGCTCGACCACTGCGTGGGGACGCGCGCTCCTTTTCTGTTATGTGCAGGCACGCCGGAGATGCGGCCCAAGCAGTGGCCCGAGCCCATCATCGCCGACAAGCACCGTTCGGTGGTCGTGGATCTGGCGCGGCAGCTCCACGCTGTGCGGCAAGAGAAGAGGCACGCCAACTCCAGCCTCGACGAGAAGAAGGCAAACGCACGAGAAGACAAGATGCGAAGAGCTCGGCTCCTAGACCGGCACGCGACGAGCTTCCACAAGTGAGCCTCGCCTTCCCTGCCGTCCGCCGCCCCCTTGCCGAGCCCGTCCTTGAATCCTGCCTCACCCACACTCTCGAGCCTCGTTCGCTTCCAGGCTAGAGCCCGACGAGATGGTAGCCGTGCACGCCCTGCTCCAGCAGAGAGAGCTCGCGCAGGCGAGGCGGGGTAGGTACCCAGTGTGCAGCGAAAGCTCGAGACTGCTCAACGTCGAGGACAAGCGCGAATTGCGACGCTGGGAGTGAGCGCTGCGCTGCCCAGCCGTACGCGTAGAGCTAGAGGAAAGTTAGGGCCGGGGGGGGGGGGGGGCGCCCGGTCCCCTGTGAACAGGGCTCGCACCTCAACCTCTCACAGACCAGCGCACAGCGCCATAGGACGTTTTTTCTTCTCAATAACAAGGCTGTAAACATTGTTCTCTGTGTGTGTGTGTCCGCCCTTCTTTATCGCGGAGTAGAGTTGGAGTAACTTCAGCACTTGAGCACTGGATCTAGAGGGGTCGATTCCGCACATATGGGTGTACGGGACCCCGTTGGAGTACACCTATAAGTGGACCGTAACGTACGGACGACATACGTACAGTGCAACACGAGAGGTGTAGCTCGTGAGTCGTCGGTGACACGACCCTCGTGTGCGTGACTGCGTCAGACTCAGAGGACATCAGAGAGACGAAACCCAAACCGCACCTCATGCGCGTGCTCTTCTTCCTGCTTGCTGCTCGCCCTCCGGTCGGGAGCCGGAGTGGGTGCCTGGGTGGGTCGGGGCTGCTGCAGCGGCTCGAGTCGGCGCAAGGTGTTACGGTGGGGGGGGGGGGAGGACTACCTCGTCAACGACATTGCACCAGGACCGACACCGTCGGGGGGGCAGGCGATGATGGCATATGCCTGCTGTTGTTGTGTGAAGAGGCGAGTGGCGTAATCAACAAATCAAATGCCCGCATGACACGTGTGCCGGTTGCCGCCTCATGTGCTTAGGATTCCTAGTCAAACGCACCCTGCAGAAAGGCGAGGAGAGCGCGAGAGAAGAAAACGATTGCGCCCGCCTCTCTCGTGTGGGTGGTGGGTGCGTGTTCGCTGGTTCTGGCGTG